AAAGTCAAAGACATGTACAGACCATGGCCCAATCATGGTGGTTGGCAGAACTCAGGACGGCACCAAGATAAACTCTTCGCCTCTTTGACGAGTAGCTCATTCAGGAAATACCTGATTTTCGATCAGCTCCGACCAACTCTGGGATGCCACTGAAATTCTGGAAGTGGCCGTTTTTTTCCTGAACCCCCTTCAACAGTCCGGGACCTGAGTAAGGCTACCCCCTTCCTCGTTTTGCTTTATTTCGTGTTTATATCACTCCAATGACGACGACTACGATGGGTACAAGGACGACTACGACGACAATTACGACGACGACGACGACGAGGACGAGGACGAGGAGGACGAGGACGAGGACGACGAGGACGAGGACGAGGGAGAGGACGAGGACGAGGACGAGGACGAGGACCAGGACGAGGACGAGGACGAGGACGAGGACCAGGACGAGGACGACGATGACGACGATGACGACGATTACGACGATTACGACGACGATGAAGACGATTACGATCACGACGACTACGAAAACAATTTTCACAAACAATAATACTACCTTACTACCTACTGCCTACTCCGAGAACTGCTACGACGATGACAACGACAGCAATCCGCCGAGGCCGGAGGCTTGAGGCGTTTAGATCCAGGTCTAGGGAACTTTTCATAGTTGTACCTGCCCGCCCCCCCCCCCCCCACCCGCCCCCATCGCGTTAGCGGTTAGATTACGACTACGATTCCTACTCCTCCACGACGAATTGAAGACAGAGTTGCGGCTGCTGCACCAGGTCAGCCAACATGCCGCAGCTTCGCACATACCTGTCAGACTGTTATTTGTTCAGGCCGGGGCCGTTGTGGCAAGATAAGCGGCCAGGATCCACATCACTTGTCATGAGCTGGCTTGGGAGCGGCTTGGGATGTTTGCAAGACCTTCGCTCCGCCTGGCTCGGTCCACTTCTGGTGCTGACTCCGGCAGCCAAGCCAGCAAGAGCCAGCGGGAACCTTGGATTCGAGATGAGCGCAACGCCCTGCGTATGACTACTGACGTCAAAGACTAACATCTCGTCTGGCCTCGTGCTATTGGTGCCACGACAACATATGCAGAAGAGTGGCCTTCAATGTTTTCGCAAAGGTCAGCCCGGAATAAAAGCAGGCTCGGTTTGTCCGGCTCAAGAAGACTCTTCACCTTCTCTCCCAAAATCCACAACAATGTCTGGCGAATGTGACCCAATGACTTGACAAGCGGAAGAGAGCAAACACAGAGGGAGCCATGATCGAAGCAACTAGTCGCGGCTTGGTTCCAAGCTCTCCAAGGATAGGTTTCAGTCCCTAGCCAACCAAGCACAGGGAGTGACAGCCTGCCAGACCGGATTGCAATATGCTGCTATTGGCAGTAGTGCCTCGCCAGAGCAGTACGCAACCAAAACATTTCAACGAGGATTGTCGTACCATCCTCGTTGGAGGTACGTACTTGTAGTGCAGGCCAAATGGCTGCACAGGTGTGCACGAGCAGACATAGACATAGAGCATGTGTCATCCGAACGGCTGACTGTCTGACCATTGGCCAAGAAACTGTGAGTGTTCGGTGTCTTGTAGGAGGGTAAGAATCTAAGAAGCAACTCGACAGCATTCTTCGTTATCCCGTTGTACATAACCACAAGATCTGCCCATGCCCTCTGTGCGAGGCGCATGGATCAGCTCTGCCAAGCTACTTGGGGGTGAGGGCCTGGGACGAAAGCTAGTTAAGGTACCACGGAAGAGCTTCCGTCAACATGGCATCAACTACGCAGAAGGACAAGCGCACGCAAAGGCAGCAGGTCGTGTCACCTTTTTTCTGGCGCAGGTGCCAATATTGACGTGGCATTCCTTCTGGCAATGTGTTGGTGTGTTGCTTTGCTCTGCGGTGTTTTAGCATCTTCCGGAGGGCTCTTTTTTGAAACGCATGACACCACAACAGATGTTGCACTTACCAAGGGAACCTGTCCAATCCAGCTTTGAGGGACGCCTGACTCAAGTCAACATCAAGGCTTCTGAGTCTTTTCTTAGGGGGCTTTTCTGTTAGCATCTTCCGGAGGGCTCTTTTTTGAAGCGCATGACACCACAACAGATGTTGCACTCGCAAGGCGAAGTCTGAAGTCTGTCCAATCCAGCTTTGAGGGACGCCAGACTCAAATCAACATCAAGGTTTCTGAGTCTTTTCTTGGGGGACTTGGGGGGCTTTTCTAGGGCCTGGGATCCACAGAAAACGGCGTTCATTTGCACCCAATATACGAAAGAAATGAACGCTTGCCCGTTTCCCCAAAACCTGTGTTCGCCACCCGGAAACCGACCGGGTTTGCTGCGTTTCGTGGCGGAGCCTCCGGGGGCCCTGTATACCCTTCAGGTTGTAAGCTTCGCTTAGGTAAGATACTCCGCTAGCTCCTCAGGGGCTAGCTTTCGTGATAGATGCGAACGAATCTGAATACCTCGTTGAAGAACTATTTTATGAACTCCCCAAACGGATGACTCCGGACATGATGCCGTTTGCACTTCCATGTCCTACAATTAATATCTAGAACAGGCTGTGGGTAGTCTGCTATGGCAGCGCCGATATATTCTGGCGTTGCATCTTCTAGTTTTGCGGCAGCGGCTTTTGCAACGGTGGGCCATCGGCCCGAGAGCACACTGGCGGTCGAATTAAGTTGAAGCAAACTCGGTAAAACAACTACAATAGCATGCTCTGTGGATACATCTTTCGCCTCCAATCTGTGATCCTCTTGTTTCTGCTGTGTAAAGGGCTTGTGTTGTTGATCCGGCTCACGTTGGTCTGTTGCGGGCCTGTGCAAGTCGGCAGGAGAGGAAGCTGTGAGCTTCAGTGTAAAGACCTACATACAAATGTTTCTGGGACGTGTTGGTAACATTTGGTAAAGAGTTTGACTCACCATTCAGAGAAGCCACACATCGCTGGAACTCCTCCAATACACCAGCACCGGCTGATGCTGACATACGATTCATACGATGGGTAAAACGCTTTGGCACCTAAACGCGAGACGACCTGTTCTGGGTCCTTGTCGATGCCAGCACCGGCCTCCTCAGGAAGTGAGTTTGCGAGCGCCTCACAGAGCAAGAACACACATATACATGCTAACTGAGCTGCTAACTGATGCTCTGAGGTGATCAACAGTTGCAAGCCAATTCGAGCAAAGGCTGACTGCGCACGGTGTGGTCCCATAGAAGGTGCATAGGGTTCATAGGACGCCCATGATCCTCTCGACTGTCTGTGGACACCTTATGGCTCTTTGTGAACCGGCAAACTTCTGTGGCCCCCCTGCCATCTGCGGACCTCTGGATCCCTCATCGCCGTATGGAATCCGTATGGACCCCCTCGAACGCCCTATACCCGCATAAACCGACCCCGCGATCCTCACTTGCTATCACGCCCTCCCCCCCGGCCATTATCTGAACCATTCGGCCTCTACGGACCCTCTGTAGCTGTGCAACTCCTGCATGCGTACCTTTAATATGAATCACTACATCCATACGTAAGCTTTGAAACTAAAAACTCGAAACATGCTGTGGACTTCCGTACACTTCCTATCCATGGACCTCTAATGAAGGCGCCAGGGACCCCTCTGAGCCCCCCCAATGAGCCTTTTTCCCCTAATGCTGGGGTCTAGCTGGTCTGCCATGTCCGACGCAGACGAGGTGAACCCTAATCCCTCAACCCTTGGCCGAGCTAATCGCCGACAAATCACACCTGTAAGCAGTCTGCCTAGCCCCTCGCCACCCCACGGGTCGAGCCCACTGATATGTTCTACTATACGCCTTTCACATCAGCAAAGCTGGGCCTTCAGACGAAGCTAGTATATACAGAGGTTAAAGATGTCCTCTCGCAGGCATATTAGGACTTGAGTGTCGCCCATATGGATGTACGTTGCAGGAAGCACCAGCGTGTAGGCTGTTGGCGCCGCATCCGCCAGCGCAGAGCCTTCCGAAAGAATGAGTGGGTTAGAAGAGCACACGGCATTTCCTTAACAGGTTTCGTGTCCGTTTCGCATGTTGCGAGTCGCCCCAACTCTGAATGTGGCCGAGGAGACTGTATGCAATGCAGTTGTCACGGAGTGGCAAGCATATGCATTTCAGTTCTTTGATCAAGAGGCCTTTCTGGACAATGATCGCCTTCACACATCGAAGAGACCGAGAACGAGCCGCACGAACGGTGTTGCGCAGCTGGCTATCCACGCTTTCAGCAGCCATCGCGGCCCTTCCACATCATAACTGGCTAGAGTCATGGCGGGGCCCTGCAGGTCTCAAATTCGACTGTCAAGTGCGCTCAAGATTGCTCAATTGTCTCGGCGGGCATCGTGATCAACTTCCACTGAACAAGAAGATTCATTCATAAGCACGCAGTGGCATCCACGAACTGCACGTATACATGGGTTACAGTCGCGAAGCTCAGGCCGAAACAGCTCAGCTATTTTGCAAACACCATGCAGTCTTCCCCAGATACAGCATGCTGCGGCGATGCTTTTGCAACACTGCTGATGCTGTATGCCGGCCCTGTCCTGATGGTACTGATGCTAAACTTCCAGCAGTTCCAGCATCATTGGACATCCCTGGACATGCACTGCATTGCGTCCATGGCGTCGCTGAGAGTGAGCCAAGAAAGCCCTACGTGGTCGTCGATAAGAAAGACAAAGCTGTCCTGGACCAGAAAAGAGGATGTTGGGCACTTGCAGGACACTAGGAGGGCAAATCTCGGGCATCATTTTCACTCAATGCATACCGATGCTTGTTGCAATCAATGCCTCGACAACTATGTGCAATTTGTCCGGGGCGTGGGTCCCTGGTGGATGGAGCTACGGAAGCGATCATGAAATGCACCAGGAGCTTGATGCAAGACGCGGCTCAAGCGAATGGTTGTTCACTCCCATATTGTGGCTTGTGGAGCACGACAACTTCAATCTAGTTTCATGACGGTCATCCCAGCCCGTCACATGAATGCTGTCATCGGAACTCTGCAGCCTTGCCTGGGGCCGCAACACCGGGCCTGGCGCTTTCAGCAAAGTCATGCCCACAATGAAATGCATGGATATTGAAACAGGGGCACTGCACTGACTTGCACCTGGACTGCCGATCAGATACACCACCGGTCCGTCGCATGGACTTTGCATCCAAAGAACAGAGGCCAACAACACCTCGATGCAAAAGCTGCTTCAGAGTCTGCTCCATTCCAAACGTCCCGGAACTCCAACTCCGGCCTTGTTCCGTTCCATAGATCATCTGGACAGGGTCGCCTACGTGATGCCTGACACGCATGAGGCTTGAACATCGACTGCCCATGACTGCCCGTCCAATGCTTGTCCAAACCTCCACGCAAGCCAAGTAGCGAGGGATTGTCTACTGGATTGACCCCTTGAAAGCCCAGAGCTGTCGCCGAGCCCTCGACCTTGCAATTTGGACAAAAAGGTGACAAACTCATGCCAAACTCCGATGAATTCAAACTCGTGACTCTTTCAGGCGGTGCTGAAGGTTATCAGGCTTTCATGGGGTCAAGTAAGGCTTTGGCAGCAAATTCATGCGAAAGCTTCTCTCCCTGGTAGACACGCAAGCACTTGTCCTTTACAGCATCGCAGCGATCATTACCATGCTTCACCGCGAGATGCTGCGAGTAGCGGCTGAAAACTTCCAGTTAAATGTCCTGGCACGCAACGATGGTGCTCAGGATCTCTCCGTTATGCACCGGCGCGCAGGTCAAGTCCTCAGCAGGTGGCTGAGAGTCTAGAGTGACAGGGTAATTTGCTTTACCAATCTGCCGAGGGCAAGGGGACACTGTGCACAGGTTCAGCTTCCCAAAGATCAGATGCGAGAACAGATGCAGCCGGTGCCGTGCAGCCTACAGATGTCTACAGTCTGCAGATGTGTGGAGCAGATGTGTGCAGATGTGTGCAGTGTCGTCGTCTCGGGGCTGTTCGGGAACGATTTTATAAAGTGAACCTGGCCGGAAACGTTGTAGCCAGAGTGCTACTAAGTCAGCCAATGGCAAAGGCTGAGACTTCAAAGGTCTGACTGTCTGGCTTAAGCGCACTGCGTTGATGCGATCCTTGGTCATTACGAAACCTGGCTGATACATCGCACTTCAAGTCGATTTGTCTTTTGGCTCAAATTTAGCCGGTGCGACCATAGTCCTTACAGCTGTCGTAAATATTCATGATGTACTCACCTCAGCGGGCCAAACGGGTGCCCATCCGACACAGCAATTTTACAGGCGGACACGCATGTGAAGCCTGTGTTGAGGCATTCTATAGGAGACACTGTGTAGGTTTTGGACCGCCTGTCCAAATCATGTTCTCCTCCACAAAAAGATGATTTATCGTCTCGGTAAGGTTCGTCTTGATTTTGACCTGAGACGTGTTTGCGAGAACTGCCCTACTGAGTGGCAGAAAGCCACCCATGGCAGTTGTGAGGCATTCACGTGAACACCTTCTGGCGAATGATCTGGGAATCTCAGATCCGCACGAACTCCTTTCCTTTTCGAGTGAAGCCGTGTATTGATTGTCCACATCCGACAAATATCTTGTCCTGCACCAAAAACAATCGAAGAGCCGTCCAACACGCGAAACATGGCGTCCTTGGCAAGCTGTATGACCACGGAGCTGATTTCGCGTCCGAGTGGAGCCTGGCAGTGCAGCATGAACACCCTGCACCGTCCGGGTGCCCGTGTTGCTCCATCAAGCTTCGCAGAGGCTCAGGCTGACTTCCATTCATACTGCACCTGGGCAAGTACACGCTCTACACTCCGCCGAGCAACTGCTGAACAACAATGCGCCGTCCTGACACAGTCCAGGCCTCTCCCTTCTTGATGTAGAAGACCTGCAGCACTCCAGTGTCGTCGCCTCGTGACTGTCAGTTGAAGCAGCCTTCAACCATCTCACTCCAGCAAAAGTGCTGCGGTATGTAGTAGCACTGGCATGCTTTGTCAGAGCCTGTCAAGCTTAGTCTCCAACCAACAGCAACTTTTTGTTGCTTCTTCTTGCCGACCTGATTGCGATGACTCAATAGTAAATTGTAACCATGACTTGCCAGTCAAGGCCGATACTGTATCTTGTCAAGCAAGAACTGCAACAACCAAAGACTCCTCGAGGCTTCAAGCTTGCATGTCTCCAGGCAAGCCACCGGCAGCACATCCAGAGTTCCGGGTTGCAAAGCCTGGCAGAATGCCATGCAGTTGCAACTGACTTGCACATGCCCATCGCCGCCCATCGCCTCCTCTGGAGATGCTCCATGATAGCTCTGGCTACGGTTGCACGAGACTCGGCCCACACTGAGTTGCCGGCCCCACACTGCAGGAGGTCCACTCGATGAAGGAGGACTTCCATCCACCTGCATTGGGCATTAGTGCGGCATTAGCCTCATTAGCCCATGAAGCGGCATGAAAGCATGGAAGCTGGGCTGTTCTGGCAAAGCATGGGCGACTGGACCAAGACGTTCATCCGGCACCAAGGCAAGACAACTGGGTTGAGACAAATCAAACTTACCGTGAACAATGGCAGGGCCTGCTCTTGGAGCAGGGCGCGTTGCAAGGAAGTCGCTTGCAAGCGAGAGGAAACCGTATGAGCCTTATCCTTGCCTCTTCTGGAGGGCTCATATGAGTACAAGCTATGCTAGCTGCTAGACATCTCGGAGAATCCTGGTTCGACGCAACCAAGGCAATAGACACTGACTGAAGTTTGGTGCGCTGTTCTCGTGGTCTGGCCCATAGCTGTCTGCTTGAATTGAATGCGGCTAAATGCACTGACTTGCGAGGAACGACATGCTCCAGAAGCGCTTGTCATGAGCACAAACCAGAAACACCCAGGTTCCCTCTTTATCGCATCGCTCGCTCGCTGGATCTTCAGTTTGAAGATGCTCCTGCGCATGAGGTCCGCTGATGATCACGTTGTCCACGACCTAAAACAAAACGCATCTTCCGCTGAAGTTGTACTGTCCCTCCATGATCCTCCATGTCGCTGCATGCTGCTACATAGCTGCTACTTCACCAGGTTGAAGTGCAAAGGGTCACAAGGCAGCAGAATGGGCCGGCGTGCGCTCAAAAGGAAGGCGCAACCTCCCAATCCAAACCTCATTTGACAGAGCGGCCCCAGCACTGTCGTGGCATTCTGCCTTCTGCATCATTCTCCACACTGCACAATCTCAGCTGCATGCTTGAGCTCCGCATCCTCCAAGAAAAAGCGTACGCGGACAACAGAAGCCTGGAAGGCGCTACCGCTGCGCCACCAAACCCTGAAGGGACCCTAAATGAGACCCGAATCTGACACATGATTTGAATTCGCTGGAGGCACTTGCAGTTGCACGTCCAAGCCATCCAGGATCTGAACCTGTAGGTCTGTAGGTTTCGTCCTACAAGTAGCAACATGCTTAACTTAAGTCGGTTGCAACTTGCAACACTTCTTCTTGTATCCACCCGTGAGAAATCAGAACTCTGCCCTAAGCCTTGGGCCCATCTGCATTTCTACACACGAGAATTCGGATACTTCCAAATGCCAAAAACAGCGTGCAATCACGTGACATGATGATGAGTTTCCCTATCGGCTATCGTTAAAGAGGCCTGGATAGGCCTGGCAGGCATTAATTACTTCGTGGCGCGAGTGGCTGATACGATATTTAGCGCACATCTGTCGGATTACACTGTCGCAGGCCACACTTGGCCCGCACATTCTTAGCCATTATCATCCGTATCCGTGATTCAACGCTGTTGCATGAGGTTTCTGCGTAAGTGCAGGGATGTGCTTTCCGCATCCCTGTTTTGTTTCAATGTGTAACAAAATGTGCCTTGCGGTGGAGGTAGTCCCGTTCCTTGCCGAACAACCACGTTCGTCATGCCACTCTTTGTAGCCTACATTGACATACCTTGGCTGCGTGAGGTGGTGCGCTGTTCTGCAAAAGATTTCTTTCTTCAAGGGCCTTAGCCCCACGCTCAACCACCTTATGGCCTCGAGCATGCATCCAGTCACTTTTTCAAGTTGGCTCAGCATGGCCCAGGATGCTGGTAAGGCGGATGCAACCAACCGACTATGCTCTGAAATTTTGCGGAACCTGCGCAACCTTCGCCTTGTAACAGTTGTCACCAGTTGCCACTGTTGTCGCCCATGACTTCTACAGGAAGAGGATTTACCTGCATTGCCCTGTGTGTCTTTGTGACATTTGTTGTGTCCAGAATGCAGTGCCGAGCACATTCCATGCAAAGCCTACGGAGGTCACGTGCAACTTTCTGTTTCCCAGATTCCTGCTGCTTTTCTCCAACCTAGCATGCAGGATCTGGCTTTTTGTGCAAGCCTCGTCCGGCGGTGCTGTCATCGCCCATTTCAAAGGGCCCCAGACCTGCTCCAGAGTCTGTTGCTGACCCACTCCACTTGGCAGCAGGGGTGTGGGCCAGGCTGGAGAGGGGGGCTGTGAAGCAGTTTCCGGAAGCAGAAGTCTGGGACAGCGGCGCCATCTTGAACAAAGTCCAGCTGAGACGGCTGCCTTCCACAAGCACTCTTCTCCGGCATCTGCTGCGTTTGCACAGCTATTCCGGTGCTTTGCGCACATAAAACTCTATTGTCACGTTCTCAAAGGGCCTGCACTGGTGCCAGACAGGCGGATGCCTGGGCATGAAAGTGTTGCTGCGACATGATGCGACATGTTGGTAGAATATGGATTTGCACCCGTCACGGCCGGATCATACAGAATTTCTATATCTGTCTGGGAAAACCTTTGGTTGATACATCAAATTTCCCTTGCGTTTTGAGAAGCCCAGTCACCGGCCTCAAAAAGTCGTGTTTTTTTTGAATTTTGCTGAATGTTGGATTGGTTTCGTACCCTGTGCTGCGAAAACGTGGCATGCTCTTTCGAGCCGCTCGGGCTCGTGGAGTCCGTTCAAAGGCAATTTGGCGGTGTTCGAAGTCGCGCTCTTACACCGCTTTGGGTCTAGAACGGCAAAAGAATGGCCTCTGATGCGTAGATTCCCTGACCATGGTCAGGGGATGTCAGGGGCATGCTGGTTCCAGGGCTTGTGGGCACAGCGAGCGCTGGCTCGGATTCTGCGCCCGTTGATTCTCCTGCAGTAGCACGTTCACCACACTCCAAAAATCACAGTTTGTGCCGGGCAGCGCTCAGAGCGGAAACAAGAAATTCAGGAGGGATTGGAAAACGGGGAAAGGCCAGAAAACAGTGGGGCCCAGATCAGAGCACAGGCTTCCATGCCGTCGCTCGGAAGATTCGTGCAAGGATGTGCAAGGTCACCTCGTGCGATGGTGGTGGGTTTTGGGCTCTGTAGCTATAGCCTGCAGAGCCCGCCGAGCCTGCACGTCAAACGATTGCATGCTTGACGTCGCGTTTTCAACGGTCACTGAGGGCTCTGCACGGAAAGCCTCACACCAGCTTCCGCAGCACGAAGCAGTCCCTTTGCCCTAACCTGAGGCGGAGCGCAAACTAGCAAACAGCCGGGAGCAAAGGCTCGGGAAACTCTTGCACTGCTGAACTTTTTCTTTGAATGCCCTCTCATCATCTTTCCACAACACTACTCAGTCTGCACATCATAGGACTTTGCAGATGGCTTCGAGCCACATCCTGGGGTAACTTGTCGCTCATCGCGTGCAGTGCCAGACAGCTGGGTGGGAGCGACGCCGTCTGCAAACAGCCTCCAATTATTCATCTTTTCTTGATTGTGCTTTGTTACGCTTGTCCACGCCAATGAATTGTACGATCAAAGTGGCATTGAAACAGGCATTGAATAAGAGAGATCTCATTCCGGCACATTCGGCTCCACTGTAGACTTTTGCACCTGTGACACAAAGAAGACAGAAGCTTGTCGCAAATTGCACGATCTGTAGCTTGGTGATCCATCGCTTCCATGGCGTCGGGCGCTTCAGGATCTTCATCGCATAGTAGTGGTACATAATGACATGGACCATCCTCAGCCAGCCGCGACACGCATTTTGATTCGACAAAAAAGACTGCCCTGCACCGTTGCTTGCAAATCAAATAGACCCAGGAAAAGTCAGGAGACGTGTTGAACAGCAGGCCTCCCCACTGAAGGGATTGCTGGTACTGGCACCAAAGCCAAGCCATGGGCACCTTATATAAACTTTGGAGCTTCTTGACTTCTTCTTGGATCTGAGAAGTAAAACGGGCTCAGAAGGAAGTTTGGCAGCGTCCAACTGCATTAAATTCATGAAGCAGCTTAGCGAAGAGACAGGCAATCCAAGAGCACGACTACTTGCATGAAAGCTCACAAGACAGCCAAGGTACCACGGCCGCATGATGGTACACTTGCAGCTTGAAGTGAGGCACCCTGCTCTTCTGCAAAAGCACCAGAACTGTATCAAACATTTCGTAGTACTTGCTCAGATAATAGATGTAGGACCAGAAGAATAATGGACCATTGGATTCCGTGGCTGCTTCACAGAAAAACCAATCAAAGCTCCCTGATGAGGACCAGCGTCTATGCAGCTCAAGTACCGTCCCAAGCAGCATGATGAGTGAGCCAACCGACAGAAGCAAGTTGTGCACGACAGCAGCCGTGCCTAGCTCGAAGGCCTTGGCATCCTTCATCCCAAAGCTCAACAATAACACAACGACCAAATAGAAGGCCACTCCGCCCGCCGGCCAGCGCCAATCCGAGGCAAAAGCATCATCCCAGCGAAACTGCTCATACGGAATCCCTCTCATGGCACGCACCACACAGGACTCTGGACGATATGAGACGTGACCAGCAAAACCTGTGCTTTCTGTGCCTCTGGTTCGTTGAAATATGAAACCATGACACGTGCTGCATGTCTAGAAGGCTTCAGCAAGTTGGAGGTAGAAACGAGTCGCAGTCTAAGAACAATCTCAAGAGCAGGCAATGAGCTGCGTTGTCCTGCTACAAACAGTGCGATCGCGTGCCCAACACAAGTGGCTGACCCAAAGAAGTATCACCGTTGGACGCGTGCGCCATGCCTAGGTCAGCGCTGACTGCATGCATAACAACTTTTGTGTGTTGGGGGCAGTTCTGTCATGACATCTTTGTCAGCTTGCCAAGCTCCACGCCCAAGCTGGGACCTTGTCTTGCAGAACATCAAATCCAACACGCCTGGGTGAACCCGACCCAGCACCAAGCTCTTCAAGTCTCGAAGACGCCACGTGCCTCCAGTTGCACCGCCTCACCTCCAACTAGCGGTGGTCTTAGGAAACTGCGCTATGCTTTTGCACTCTTCATATACAAAGTTCCAACTCTAGTTTGCATCAGAAGATCATGACATCCTTAGTTGTACTGCATGTGATGGGCAGCCACACAAATGAGCGGGGTGCGTTCTACTATACCGTCTTACAAAGCAGTGTGGCTACCATATAAAGATGGTTTTGAGCGTGCGAAAAACCCGACTCGTGGACCCCCGCTCCTTTACCCCCACCCCCAACTCCTCTTGGCTTCAAAAGGGACGCCTGTATTTCTTCAACACTTGAAATCTAACCTTGTTTCTCGTTGGAAACAATTTTTTTCTCTCTCTCTCTCTCTGATTAGGAAAACCTCTAACCTCTAGGCGTGGAAGTTAAAAACCGTTTCTCTTCAGATGTAGAGGAAATACAGTTAAGCGAACATTGCGTCTAAGTCTGCTGAGAACGCCTTCAATGCATGGATTGAGGCATGAAATGGCACTGCCTGTGGAGACGAAGAAGAAAGAGAAAAAGAGAGAGAGAGAGAGAGAGCCAGGAAGAGAGAGAAAGAGAGAGAGAGAGAGAGGACCCGCTGTGGAGATCATTGTGGAATCATTGATGGGACATGCGTGGCTCCGGCTGGAACGGCGCCGCCCCATGCGAGCAAGGGTAGTGCATGCCGGAATTGGTTTGCTGGGAGCACAGGTCCGGTCCAGAGCAGGTTCTCATGCTGGCTGTAGTAAACTGTAGTAGGAGACACAGCGTGAGTAGCTGGTTTTGCTATACAAAAAATGTTGGGAAATACATGTTTTCCTCTTGAAGCACAGCCAGTCCAAGAAGAGGGAGGGGGGGGCTCTATTTGGGGTGGGGGGCCCGCATGTGATCTTCACCGGCCCATCTCCAGACTGACGGACGGATTACGTAGGCACCTGGGACGCAAGCACCTCCGGCAGCTGCATCCCTCTCATACCTCATTCTCTAGGAGGTGTTGCCATGCGCATCAAAGCTGACTGCTACGAGTAGTACTAGTAGCTTGGGTTGCGGCATTGTTCCAGACGCATGCTTGAGTTGGGTGCTGCCTCAGATACAAGACAGCGGCCAAGCAGCCACAGCTCAGAGCCAGATCATGGATCTTTGAATCACAGAAGTGCTCGCTTTCTTTTGAGAGTGGCGCTGATCGCGGATCACTGACAGCACATCAGAAGTTGGATGACTTGAGAAATCATCCACCCACTGACATAAAGAATTAGGAACTCCTAAGAAACTCTGAAGGACAGTGCCATACATCGCCCAATCTGTGCAAGGGCCTGGAAATTCTCAACATCTCATATCACATGGTGAGATACCGGAACGCTGTGATTTCCTCTTGTCTAACAGGGTCGCTTTGGATGCTGTAGGACATCCACTGAATGCCAGACGAATGCATGCCCTTGGCCCGCCAAGGCCTGAGACCCTGAACAAATGGAGGCAACGCGGCAACGTGTCCGAACACTAATGGTCTGCAAACACTTCGGCACTCATGAAACGGCGCGATGGGAACTGTGCTGACTTCAGCAAAAGCCGCATGCACGAGAGCACAGGCAGTGGTGCCACTTTCCAAATGACTTACAATCGTTTACGAGCTCGGGGCTTGTAGGGCAACTTCTTGACAAATGCCATGCCTGGTCAAGTCGTGATCGGTGAGTCGATCTGGGCTTCGTGTTCAGGCTTCAAGGCTTTGAGTCACTTCTCACATCGGATCATACCTACTTCCACCGAAGCTAGACGAACCCAAGAAACCATCAAGAACGTGCCAGATGCAAGAAAAATATAAAAACGAAACAGATGAAACTGTGCAAAAGAAAGCAGCTGGGGGCTAGGCCTAGGAAAGGCCGTGCTGACAGCTTGGCCAGTATACGTTGCACAAGCCAGCACACACGTCAATGGTGTAGGACTCAGAACTTAAAGAGTAGCCCCTTTAATATATTCTTATATCACCTGCTCACGTTGACGTCGTGTCTATGGCCGAATGTGTCATACATGATGCCATATGTATCACTATTGTAGCTATCGAGCCTGCTGGCCTGTGGCCCTGCACAGATGCAGGCTTGACCCTTCCGCATGGCCTTGCCTCTCGTTGCGTTCTCTCTGAACTCTCGTGTGTGTTCTCGTCTTCGGCCTTGGTAGTCCCCGCGCATGCACCAAACGCCGTGCGGAACCACCTCGACGCCAAGCAAGGCGCACGACACGACACTGGATGAAGGGCTTGCAGTTCAATTAAGGAGATGCCCATGATGCCACTTTTCAAGCCGTGTAGCATGAGGATAAGAGGCCGAGATTTTCAAAGCTACTACACGATTCAACCTTTACATCAGACTGTGGGTAAAGCAACTTGAGGCAAGCTGAACACAGTTTGCGAGATCTGGGCTTGTTTGGAGCTGATCAACCTGGAACCGGCATCTTGCCCGGCAGTCTACTGCACCTTTGTCAAAGGGCGTGGAATTAAATGAGGACATTTTGATTTTGTGTCTTAGGCTTTGCGCCTCTCACCTCCTGGGGTACCATATGCCTTCCAAATTTTCAAATGACGACCCTCTCAGTGTTTCCGCGTGCCCGTGTCGCTCTCGCCAGGCCGCTGTGCTCATTCAAATCGCAGCACATATTCTATTTAGAGATCAGAAATCTCTATTCTGTCTATACTACGAAAGATCCGCTACATTTGACGTCGACTTCTATCCCTCTGCTCTCTAACAGGAAAGATCAGGAATGCATCTATTTCTCAGAATGTCTTGTTTGCTCTGGCAGCGCGGTCCCAGCCCGCACCGTCCCGTCGCTTCGCACCCCGCAGGGTCCCCCGTCATCCCATGGCATCCCGCCTGTACCGTCCCATGCATCCCGCTTTAATTCCCAGAGTCCAGCTGCCAAAGGATGCCCCGTATATGTACACCGTAGCGTCCCGTCGGCATCCAAATTCGTACTCTCGCACCACCCAGGTCGGCCTGCACAGGGTCCCCGATTACTGTCAACTCGCACCCAGTCTCAGATGCACTGTCTCGCACTGCCCCGTGGTAACCGCCGCCAAAGTTCGCACCCGTCCTGTACCGTCCCACCTGCTTTTCCCGTGACTGCGCCCAAGAATCCTCGCAGACCCTGCTTGGCACCCTAAACGAGAACCCAACCCCCCAGAGTGTTTGGCAATAACGTGAAAAGTTTAGCTGTCAAATAGTATCTGTTAACTACGAAATTCACCACGAAGCATTTTCACAACGTTTGCTATGTTACACACAAAGTACATTACATACTACAACTGCAAATGCAGAAATGCAGAGTGGGTGCGTAGATATATATATATATATAGAGATAGAGATAGAGAGAGAGAGATGGTGGGTATCTATATTTACTTCTTATCCTATACAATTCCCGCTCCCGCCCCGTCCCGCAGCACCCATCCCGCTGCTCAAGCTCGCACCCGCAAGGTCCCGTCCCATATATACTATTTCGTGACATCCCACCACCAAAGCTCGCACCCCGCAGGGTCCCCCCGTCTTCTGTCATCTTTGTTCACGTTGCTGACATCTATATCCGCTCGTCCACCATGATCATTTCCAGAATTGATCAAAACTGTTGTGGTTCAGTTCAGCATGTTCTCTGCCCGTACGACAAGAGAAACTCACGAAGATCGGCGTACGTTGTGTCGGCTCTCAGGTTGGGCAACATAGCTGTCCAAGCTGACCATCTTGCTGATTCAAAATAATGGCAGCTTCAAATCATCTTGCACCACATCTCGACCCTGCTCCATTCTGCTCTGCTCTCTTATTGGCTCTCCCGTGGTCAGTCCATCTCCGGACCTTGCCGTCGAAAAGGAAAGAGCGTCCGCCTGCCTCAGATGAAGCATCTGCCCCCCCGTCCGGTCACAAGTTGTCAGCCAGCATGACAAGAGCATGCTAACCCAGCCCATGCGCTGGCTAGTGTTGTCTCTTTCGCAACAGGTGTTCTTCTGCACGACATTGGACATGAAGGAGCCCGGCTACGAAGTCACAGGGCTCGACATGTTTAGCAGAACACTGCTGCTTCCTGCCGGCGAAGTTCAAGTGGGAAAGCTTTGTTGCCCATGACGAAGAACGCCATCTGGTCGATGACCTGATCACACACAGAACTTCCCCGAGGATTTTTGCCACCGATCGACCTCACAAATTCTTTGCACGCGCCGCTCAGATATCATGCATACTGGTAAGTGCGAGCCAGTGGCTGGATCTTTCTCCTCAAGAATTCAGATATGCGGGAGTACAGCGAAGCCATCGCAACAGCACTTTTGAGACACGGCCAATCTCCAAACAGATACTGTCTCCTGAATGCCCAGCAACAGCGATGCTGATTGATCTTGGTCCACGTGCACGCAGCAATATTCACAGGCCTCAGAGCGGGACGTAGCATAAAAGGTACACATAACAGACATCTCCCGAAGTGCAGACGAGGTTTACATACGTGGTATTTACTGCGACGTTGAGTACCAGTTCTCTTGTTCTACTCTTCCTCATCTGACTGTCATCCACTCCCTACAGCAGCTGTAGTAGAGAATGGGCAAGATTGTGAACAAAGCTCTGACTAGCTGTCCAGTCCTTGGGCCGAACCTCGTGTAGTCTTTTTGTGGTTAACAGGCAGCCGAGTGGTCTAAGCCCAAGTAGCTTGGCAACCCTTTGATCTACACGTCGGGCAGGTCTCCTTGCACGAGGGCACACCTTAGTTTAACTCAAAGCAGGCTGGAGGATCCTTTCTACAGCCTGCTCCGGCATTGGGATCTGGGACTGTCAGTGAGAGGCAGCCAACTCTTGAGCAAATTTGTAAAGCGGAATGTAGGGAACGGCAGCTGGACTTCCGCCCCAGAGGCCCAAGGCATCCCCTAGAATGCACACTGTCATTGACAAGAGTCACTGGCAATTGGGAGGATTTGCTCTGACTGATTGAACACATGCGCTTCGCTTAATTTCACCACTCACTAGTTGCTGAACTGGACTTGATTGCAAGAAACCCTGAATGCCATTGAATGCCTGAATGGGTCTCGCACCCAGGAGCTTCGCTACGGGAGCAGGTGGCGAATGGTCTTCACTGCAGTTCGATAGCACTGCCATGTAGCCTCAAGCTGCAAACTCGTGAATTGTATCAAAACGATCACCCCAGCACAATGAATGCAATGAATGTGGCACCAACACCTGGGACGAACTTTCTCGTGCTGCGAATGCTGCAGTTGACTTGCGCTTGCCCCACGCCAAGCAACCCTGGCCAATGTACGTTTGAACTGAACCGCCATCAGTGGGATCTATGGCTGCGACTCCTGCTCACATGTAAGCTGAATAGGTACTCTGTAGCTGCGACCCCGGCTCATGTGTAGGTGGACAGGCGAGCTGCATTGGGCACTGACGCTACACTCCCGCCATATGGCTCAGGAAGGGACACAGTACAACGTGTCCAGCCCCTTCAAGCTCCTGGCTTTCGGTTGGGCAGCGCAGGTGGATGGTACCAGCGGAAAGACTGCCACCTGCAGGGGCAGCGGGCGGATCAGCAGACCGTCCGAGGAGGTACTGCAGAGCAGGATTCATTTGCATCCTGAAGTTTTGAAGCGTTCGTCTCTGTTCCAAGGCACACATCCTCATTGGTAGCATTCTGAAATACCTTCACCATGTCGGTGTCCAGCAGGTCGTGTAGCACCTCCCGATCAGCAAAAGCAACACGCACGGTGCACAGATTTTCATCAGTCAATGCCACTACCAGCAGGTCTCATTGCCTGGGTGGGCACAATTGCTTTGGAAGGTACTGTCGGCACCGGCGGCGTCAGTGAAGACCCTAATTTTTTTGTTCACCCCACCCAGCTCTCGTCTCGCCCCCACCCCCACCCACCCCACCTCCACCCACCACCACCCACCCTGCCCACCAACCCACCACACCACCCACCCACCCCCACCACACCTCCTTTCTGCCATCCCGCAACCCCACCACCACACCCCCTCACGAAGGCCCAAAACCCTCAATCTCTGGAAATGAAATGTATGCCCAAACCCCCGCCGCCCTTCCCCTCTCCCAGCTCTCCCCGCCCCACTGCCCA